CTCGGATTTACACTCGCCCACAAACACACCCCGCCGAGCGGAAGTCAGGGTGGGTCGTGGAAAAGTAGGGCGGAAAGCCGAACCGAAAGAAACAGAAACGAAGTCTTCTCCAACTTTCGCCCCGACACTTTTTTTTTTAATGTGACTCACGATTATGTCCGGGAAGAGGTCTTTAAGCCTCCTCGCTGGTCCCAACCGGAGCAGGCCTTTTGAATCATTTGCGGAAAGAAAGGCCGACGCTTCCCCAAATCCCACCGATTCGACGAATCTACTCCGTTTAGGACCAGCGACTGGATGGAGGCCTTACTCCGTAGCCTGGTACAGCAAGGCCGGCTAAAAATCTATTTAGGGTCCCTCAAGCATTTCGTAGAGAAATGGGCCGAAGTCGACGCAAAAAATGGTGCTAAAGAAAGCCTTGTCCTGAAGGTGCCACGAGATGATTTATTGCTGTTAGTGTCGTTATACTTTTAGGGAAGGAGCCTGTTTTCCGCTCCACCCCGCCTGTCACATCAGGGAAGACTGGACATTTTTTCTCCAGCAAATACAGTATTTCGATCCTTTGTGTGGAAGACGATTTGTGTTCGCACCCACCCAGGGAAATGTTTCAAGCGTGACAGTCCGCTATGAAATGGAGGACGAAGCTTCTGCCTGCTGCCCGTTGGTTTTGAGCTGACAGGGCGGAGGGGGAAAAATGCTTTGACCTTCGCCGAAAGTTTGTGTGTGTGTGTGTGTATGTGTGTGTGGAGGGTGCAAGTGAGGTCGCACTTGTAAAAGTAACGTAAAACATTTCATGGCGGAGTACACAGCATAACTGCTCTCATCTTGCTTCATATCCACAGCCTTCCACCTACGATTTACAGTATGCAGTACAAGAAAGAGCAAGTTGTACTTGCAATAGAGAGTAGAGAGTTAACGGTGATTTTTTAAAAACCTGAGTGAAGATCGGGTTGGAAAAAGTGAACAGCGGTGCGTTCTGTTTCTGGGTGGAATCGATGCGGTCTAATCCTAAATCAAGTTACGAGACTGCATCTGGAGAAGTAGGTTAAAGTCCACGAATGTCGAATAAAACGTATTTTAAGGTGTCGCAAGACCCTTTGTCGTTGCGAGATTAAGGATCTGTCGTTTCCTATAGTCAGTTCTCACTTTTGCCAGGGCATTGGAAAAAAATTGCACGAAAGGGAACCGGAATTCTCCTCTGAAGGATGGGGGTTTCACTTTAATTTTGCTTATTTCTATGGTCCTGTGTGGGGCTGTGTCTACACAACAAATGGGGCGGGGTGGAGGTGAGTTCAGAGTTACAGTACTTGAATTTGGCTTCAACGGTTGCTGGGTACAGTATAAGGCTAGCCCGCTTCACCTTCTGGGAGGACAATCCCATTGGGGAGGGGTATTTTTTGTTTTTGCTTTTGCTCAAATTTGCCAATTGATTCATAAGTAAGAGAAATGAAAACTTTAGCTAATTGATCTTCTCTGCCACAGTTATCTTGGTATAGTTTTCCATGAATTGTGGAAAGCAACAAAAGACTAATTCTTTCGGTTCAACATCTTTGTTCAAGTGTTCTAGCAGCTGTGCCCTGTAGCTGATAAAGGATTCACTCTCCTCCCTCCCAAGTTATGCAAAGACCTTTTAAAAAACCTTTTATTGTCACCAAGCCTTTTTAAAAGCGTTATGGATCTACTGTAGCAGCATTTCAAGAGAGGGGAGCTCCTGGGGAGCAAAGGACCAATTATTGTGTATGAGGACTTTGAGAATATACAAATCTTTTTAAAAGGATCTGTTGGCACTAGCGATTTTTTTTAAAAGTCTAATTACGGACTGGAGGGAGTTAAATTGATACACAAAGGAGGGAGCAAGCTACTTCTGCCTCTCCCTGTCACTGATCTCCTATGTGTGGAGTCTTTTTATGCGATTCTGAAACTTGATTTTCCTGGGTTCTGGCTCACATAAAGTTTTCTACTTCAGATCTATTGCTTTTCATGTGAGCAAGTTGACAACAGAGGGAACAGGTTTGCATGCTACCTTTATTACATGTGAAACAATAAAAAAAAATACCTACATAGGTTGTCATTGTCATACTTTACTCACTATCATCATAAATTGAAAAGTCAAAATTTTGAACCCCCGCTTAAAACAAAATCTTCACCAACATATCCTGTGGACTGAGGTATGGCGACCCTTTCAGTAGGGTTACAATGTTTATGTTTAAATAGTGCCACTTAAGTCTTTTTCACAAACTTTTTTCTAGAGAACTGTGAGGTTCGGTGAATAATTATCAACATGGGTTCTAAATTCACACATTTACTTTCGAAGAGGACTGCTCTGAAAAAAATTATTCCACAGTGCATCTCAAGGAACTTCACAGATTATTGTCAATGAAGATTACAAAGTATCTTCATCGTTGTCAATGAAGATGACAACGCGATTAGGCCACTCCATCGGTCCTTTGCAAGTAAGAGAATCCAAGTTGCAGTTTTTAAAGCAAACATTATTGAGGCATAAAAATCTTAGCACTGCTGGATTGCTGGAAATAAGAGCAGTTTAAGGGTTCTTGGTTGTTTGAGATGTATAGGGGGAAAGCATGTTACTATTGTACCAAGTTAGCTTTGAGAATTTATGTAAAGTTTCTACAGAAGTTAACATTTTGTATGGTTTGGTTTTATATTACACATCTCAATGCATTTCCCTTAATAGACAGTCTTGTGTGTCTCGCTTACCTGAAGGCCCAGCTGCTCATTTTAAAATGAGTAGCATTTGTCTTGTCTACATAAATAAAAGGTAATTTATTCTATGGACCATACTTGTCTTGTTTATATATCTAGCTTAAGCTTAACATCCAGGACAGTGTTGTGTTTTGTTCCAGCAAAAAGGAAAAGACCCCACAGAACATCAGCTGGAAATAATCCTGAACAACTTTACAATGTGATTAGGCCACTCCATTGGTCGCATGTTTCCATCTCTATTCCCCCATGATCCTCAGTTTGTTGGTAGATAAGTAGCTACATTTCATAATCAGCGTGACTACGTTTTTTTTCAGATTTCATAGTTGAGTCTTCAGAAGTTTGTCACAAACTGTGAGAAGGGACTTTGTAATCACAACTTTGCTAATGTTTGTTGCTTGGTTCCTTTTAAAGGCATATCTTTAAAAATGGTGTGACATTTGGCCCTTTCAGGCAATTCATATTCATGAGTTGATTTGCATGAACCTATGAGAGCTGGAGGGGCAGAGTCAATGTACAGATACTGATAGAGATTGGGCTGGTTAGTCAGATAGATAGAGATTGAGATGCGATACTGATAGAGATAGGGCTGGTTAGTCAGAGAGAGAAAGAGGGAACAGATACTGAGATAGATAGGGTTAATCAGAGAGACAGAGTTGATTAGGAAAATAGGTAGAGAAGGTGGTAATGATATCCCAAGAGAAAAGAAGTATGTACTGAGAGAACTGTTGATGAATTGCTTATGTAAAATGTGTATTTGAGAAACTTCTGTTATTATTCGGTCTGCTTCACTTCAATAAATAAGTTCTGTTTCTGTTCACATGACAAGTGTTCTGACATACATAATTTAAATTGAAGTAATCCACTGGTGGCAGTGAGAAGAAAATGCAACATGAGCTTTTGTGAGGGAAAATCAAGCAGAGGCCACAAGGGCAAATGTCACAATTGATGTTCAGCAGCGGGATATGAAATAATCCAGTAAAGCCAAAGTTTTAAAGTGAATTTTCTGGAGTTGGGGTACCTTTTAGTCAGAGGTCTTTGGTAAAGAAGTGGGTGACCTGCTAGAGCTTTTGTGGAAAAGCTTAGTGG